AACAAAATAAGCAAATCAATAAAACAAAATCAGCCTTCATGCCTAGTCACGTTCAACAGTTATTCCAGTCAATTACATTCAGGGAGCCATTCGGACATAACTGCATGAGCTCTTGGTCCCCTGAAGTTCAGCCTGAGTGGGACCTAGATAGGGCCTCCTGGCAAATGAGCAGATGGCAATGGGTCTCAGGGTGATGGGGGAAGCATCGCTCTATTCATCCTTCAAAGGTGACCCCCAAGTCCTGGAATCAGGAGAGAACTCTGAGGAAACAGTAATGTGCACACATGCAATTATGCAGAGAACTAGCATGTGTCAGAATTTAATATGGTTGATAATGAAGCTATAGTAAACTGTGGAAGGTCCATATAAGAATTTGCAGACTGTGATAACAGAGCTTTGGTGCAACATCTCCAAGACACAGTACCCTCCAGAGTCCTTGTCTAGACACAGCCCTAAAGAGGACCAGTTAAAGTCCCTTAACAAACACAACACCTTTCAGCTATATCTTGGCAGCAACACTAAAATGATGAGTAAAGGTAGGCAGAGGAACAATAAGGGTAAGAATTCTGGCTAACACATGTGGAGTGTTTGGGGGATGTGACAGTAGAGATACACAGACAGTCTGGGCTAGAGAGCGAGTGACTTGGGAATACCAGGGAATTACTTTACTGAAATTCAGTCTGATGCTGCATCTTGACAATTGAGTTGATGGGACTGACAAGCAGTGGGGGTGAGTAATGCACCCCCGTGTTGGGTGCTTCCAGAGAAGGTTAGATCATGGGAACTGTGGCCTAATGAATGCTTTAACCCAGTGATAGAGTCAAATGTTAAGTAGATTATTGAAAGGCTCTGGAATGATGGAAGGTAGTACTTAGTTGGAAGAAGTAGGTTACTAGGGGCTTGTCTTTGGGGGCTAGAGCTTGTCCTGACCTCTTCCTGTTATGACTCCACTATGCTTCCTGTCTGCCATGATATGAGCAGCTCAGCTGCACCCCGTACGCAGCCTCCGAATCTGAGCTAGTCTGATCACAGCAATGTAAAGGGCTGGCCAATGCTCACAGGGAGCATTGCCATGCTTTGCTAACACTGACAAAACCAAGCAGAGCCGGCTCACTTGCTTCTTGCTTCCCAGGAGCAACATAAATGAAGGACATCTACTAGCTGGCAACTTAGTTTGCTTATAACAAACTAGAAATATGGGGGAGGGGCATCCACAGGAAGCTATTGGATCTCCAGAGTGTTAGTCACTTCAGCATCTCACAGGAGAATACACGTGTATCCTTAAAAATCTACTCACTGAGTGTTTTTGCACAATTATGCACACATAGTAATGTAATGACCTCTGGTCCCTACAGAGAACCACCTTTTTCCTTTATGGTTGTGGGATGGTGACAGGCACAGAACTCATCTGCACACACTTTAAAAAGGAACTGCTCCCTTCCCTCCTGCTCCTGTGACAGTCAGCTATGGCAGCAGGCTGGTGCGTCCCTTTGATCATCTCTCCCTCAACTCTATTTCCCACTATAAAGGTAAATGCCACTCCACACACTGAAAAGCCTCCACTACAAAAAGCCTCTCTTGGATTGCTTTTAACTTTTTTTCTTAACTGTCAAAGACAGTTGTTTCTTTTCTCATCTTCATTTAGCTTATCAGTATCTGTTCTTTGTTGTTTTGTTTGTCTTAAAACTAGGCCTTGCTGTGTAACTTTGGCTGGCCTTGAACTCACCTGCACCTTAGACTGAGTCTCCTCCACCTGATGGACAGAGCAGCACGGATGCTATCTACTCACAGAGTGGTGATATAGATTAATTTAGATCAAGCATGCCAGGTGTGCTGAGATCATCAATGTGATCCGAGGAAGGACCATCCTGCCTCAACCTCCCGTGTGCTAGGACCACAGGTATGTGCCACCATGCCTGGCTGGCACTAGTTTCACAGAGGATCTTACACACCAGTTCACACTGGACACCACTCTCTCATTACCATCTTGCTGAATCTTGGGAGTGAAATGCTGCCTGTCTCTCACGCCTAGGCAACAGATGTTTTGGACGGAAATGAATCTTTGCATCACATGTACCTGAACAAGACCTGATGGAAAGGAAGTCCTGAACCCCATCTTCTGGTCACTGTTTCTTCTGGAGGTGACTGTGGCCACACGGATGACAATGGTTCTAGAACATTCTGATTCCAGAGCACTTCTATCAAGTTCTGGAACTCAGCTCCAGGAGTAGCACCTTGGCCGATGCTTTGCCCTCCTTCTCATGTTACAAGCACCCAATCCCCTGACAAGGTGTCTTTTCACCTAAAGTGCCCAGGGCAATTTCTGCACATCTCTGCCCTGACTGACACTCCTAGTCTCATGAGCCAGAGCGCTATCAGCACTGGCAATCAGAGGTCACAGTGCACACCAGCATGCTTGAGATAAATGGGTCTACACTGCCATTCTGCATAGACAGGACCCATACTTCTCTCTCCATCATGCAGGGAAGAAAACTGAGTCTCACAAGAGATAGGTGAGTATCTAAGGCATTTAGTTGGTAAGAGAGAGAGACAAAATTCAAATCCACACTTTCCTTTGATATTAGGAAGACTCCAGAGCCAAAAACAATGAAGAGCAAAAACCCATGAGTATTGGCACAGAATTAAAGCCTAATTTACTAGTGTGTGTGTGTATGAGTGTGCAAGTGTGCACGTGTGTATAGTATGCTGTACATGTATTGGTGCATGCATATGAGTGCGTGTGTGTGCACTCCTATAAGCACACATGTGGAGGGCAGAGGACCTTGTGTGTCTTCTATCACTTTCTGCCTGCTTGTCTTGAGGCAAGGCCCCTCCCTGAACTAGAAGCTCACTGATTTGGCTAGGCTGGCTGGCCAGTGAGTTCCTGGGCTCCACCTCTCTCTACCCTCCCCCCATGCAGGAGGACAGGCACAAGCAGACATGCCCAGCTTTTACACAGACGCAGGCAATTTGAACTCAGGTCCTCGGGCTTGTAGCTCAAATGCTCTTTACCACTGAGTTATCCACCAGCCTGTATTTCCTAGTTTCTATTATTTTATTTTATGTATGAGTTTTTGCCAGCATTGTGTGTATGTGTGCTACATGCATGCCTGGTGCCCCCGGAGGTCAGAGGAGGAGTCAGATCCGTTGGAACTGGGGTTAGGGATGTTGTGAGTCACCATGTGCCAGGTCCTCTCCAAGAGCAGCAAGTGTTCCCCATCCCTCTAGCCCCCTAGTCATTGGTTTTTTTCCTAATTTAAACAGCAAAACCATTCAGTTATACTAACACACCTAAGGTGACCTGATAAATACAGGATGTTTCTTTTTTGTTGTCGATTTATTAAGTTCTGGTTAGCATAACAAAGAAGTAGGTTTCATTGTGACATTTTCTTTTTTTTTTTTTGGTTTTTCGAGACAGGGTTTCTCTGTGTAGCTTTGCGCCTTTCCTGGAACTCACTTGGTAGCCCAGGCTGGCCTCGAACTCACAGAGATCCACCTGGCTCTGCCTCCCGAGTGCTGGGATTAAAGGCGTGCGCCACCACTGCCCGGCCTCATTGTGACATTTTCATACATGTACATCATTATACTTTGCTCTGATTTGTACCCAACCTGCCCCATCTCCCCTCCTTCTCTCTCTGTCCCTCTCCATCTCTGAAATATTTCTTCCCTCTGTGTCCATGTCACATACATCCCATCATCCTCTCCTGTTCCCCATACCCCCATCCTTCAGTCCTTCCTCCCTCTCATTTCTACTTTCATGTCCTATACATATGTACACATGTACACACACATACACACATATGTACACACCACACAATACACACACACACGTCATTCACACAGACACATATGCATGTTTCAATTCTGCATGAGAGAAACATGTAACATCTACTTTCTGGGTTTGTTTTATTTCACTTAACAATGATCTCCAGTTCTGTTTATTTCCTAACAAATGTCATGATTTCAGTTTTCTTTAGAACTGCATAATTTTTCTTTGTGTATGTGTACCCCAACCTCTTTATCTGTTCCTCTGCTGGTGGACATCGAGGCTGACTCTGTCATGGTTACTATGGACAATGCAGCAATAAACATAGACATGCAGGTGTCTCTGTGGTAAGCAGTCTATACCCAGCAGTACAGGCTTGCTCTGTAGAAGCTGTGGCTCTGGATTTGATGTGACAAAGTGACAGGACCCTCTCCTTTAAGAAGGAGTTTGTTATTTATTCATCACAGAGCTACTCAGAAGGACTCAGAGTCCTACAGTCAAACACCGATCACGAATCCTCTTTACAAGCAATCATCTGGCCAAACTACGGTCACCCAGAAGACTTGGGAAGACCAAAATTCATTTCTCAACTTCTCCCTAATGGCTGTTTCACCAAAGACCTCCCCCACCACTAAGAGTTCTCTAAAATAAAATTTTAAAAAGTGCCTTTTTCAAACTAGCCAGTAAAAATCATTTCACTGCAATGTTCAGGAAAACATTAAGTGAGCAATGATTGCTTTAGATCACTTCAGAAATGGTCAGACTGAATGCTTTCTCTCAGTGCCCACCACTCCTCCACCTCACAGCAAGAATCTAGCCACAGGGTTAGCATTCAAGAGCTCTGAGTAGACATATGGTCCCCACTCCCCAGTGGCAGCACCAGCCCTAAGAAAACATCCTTATCTCAAATCCTCATGATCCTTCCTCAGCCGACCTCAGAATGCCAGGACCCCACCATTCCCTGACCACTGTTTGCCTCACTTTCATAGGACTGAAATCTAAATGGCAAGGGAAACTGTAGCTCTATGAAGTCCTTTCTTTTAAGGACTTATGTCTTTTTTCCACCCTTACATCAAAGCAGAAAACATGGAAAGACATGAGAAAAAATTGTAAGATTAAAATGAGAACAGAAAAGATGAAGAGAGGAAGGCCAGTGGGTCAGCAGACTCCTGCAAACACTTCCTAGCAGGAGAAATGTAAGGAGCTACAGCACAATGAAATGGACTCCACTCACCTGGGGGAAGAGGGAATACGTGGAATTGTCAATGGTGAATGAGTATAAAAACTCCCCATCATACCACAGGCTCTTGCCCATGGGAGAATTCATCTTAGTCATGGCAAAGAGATGGGCAGGATCGCAACAGTCCTCCATTTGTTTCCTAGGAGAGAAAGAGAAAAGAACAGCGGGTCAAGTGAGCAGCCGACGCACTCATTTGCCATCCCCACAGGAAGGTGCAGCCTTACGCCGGCGCCGGCTCACTCCACAGTGTCTCCACAGTGATCACACTATGATCCACTCACACTTCCAGTCACTGAACTAACTGCAGGACTGTAATATTTTACTTTAAAAATGTTTCAGAAAAATATGCCAGCTCCCAGGTGTAGCTGAAATATGTCTAAAGGCAAAAAGATGCATGATCCTTGGAGATGCATTGACTGGTCCAGCCATCCAGATCCTGTAAAGACTTGAAGAGCTGGCTCTGAAGGGTGACCCGGCATTCAGTGGCAGCAGAAACACACACCTGTGGCTTGTTTGCAACTATCAGGTAGTTAGGAACAGTGTGGAGGGATGCTAGAGTGTGAAACAGAGTAGCCCAAAGAGGGTGCACACCCCCAAACTGAGAACAGCATTAGGGAGAGCTCCGCAGCAGTCCCTCTGGATAGAAGCAGGCATGAAATGAATGGTGTGGTCTCAGAAGATGCTGAGCCAACCTGCCTTCGGGCTGTCAGGGACTGACTTGGTTCAACACTGTGACCTTTGCCTCGACCTCCCCTTTCCCTCTCTGTGTTTGAGACACTGGCCTCCCGTGGGATTGCCTGGGCCCCGTGCACTGCCTTGTAGATGACTCCCTTGTTGGCTCCTCAAGTACTGGCCATGTTACTACTTTCTGGGTCAGCTGATCAACCACTGAGCTTTAATGAGTAAGACAGATTGCAGACGCAATGGCACATCTCGATTGTCAGCACGACTGCACAGAGCAGCTCCTAAGAGATTACTGAAGCACACTTCTGGGCGTAACCATGAGTTGCCAGAGAAGATGAACTAAAATTGGGGTGATCCTAGTCCATAAACAAGAAGTCTGCGTGGAATGAACTAGTTCTCTCCACTTCCTGGCTTCCGTGAGGTGAGCTGTTCAGATCCACCATGACTCTTTGCTGTATGGCAATTTCTTCCACGTTGAAGAGAGGAAGGGGAAGGCTCGGGGGGTGAACAAAGGGTCACATGTCTGGGAAAACAGACACTTGGAGTATTTTGGAGGGCCCCTCCCCAGCAGTATTAAAAAGGAGTCAACAACTGCTGGGGGAACAGACCCTCTCCTTCCTGACCTCTGAGGCAATGTGGTCAGCTGCCTTGTTCCCATCACATGCCCTCCTCACTAGGACCCATGTGCAGTGGGTATTTGTTCCACCTATGACCTTGGGGTACCAGCCCCTAGGGCATGGCCTCTTAGCTACCTTAAGACCTGAAGAGCACCTATGGGTGCGCAATGCGCCTTGCCCCCTCCCTCTCCCTCTCTCCCCTCTCCCTTTCTCCCTTTCTCTCTCTCCCTTTCTCTCTCTCCGTCTCCTCTCTCCCTCTCTTTACCTCTCTCTTCCTCTCTCTCTCCCCCCCTCTCTCCCTCTCTCTTCACCCTTCTCTCTCCTCTCTTGAGTTCTTGGATGGTGGAGACTGACTCAGGCGGTGGAAAACATTGTGGGACCGGCTCTCAGCCTTTCTGCGGGATTTACCTTCCCCCGTGTTAGTGAGTTGTTCTCCCCAATATAATTCCTTAATAAATAATTCCTTTACCAGTTATCTGTGGGCTTCCTGACTAGTCCATGAGCCAAAATAAGCCCTCCCTCCTTTAAGCTGCTTCTGTCAGATACTTTAACACAGCAATGAGAAAAATCAATACACTGTGGCACCGTATCCAGACTGGATCACTTGCTAACTCCATGACTGGGGGTGGGGGTAGGGTGCCACACTTAGAGCTTTTTAAGAATGTACTGAAAACGTTCAGATGAAGCAGAACAAAACCCCAATGACCATTTGAATGTTGTCTCCAAGATTTATGTCAAAGTGTAATTGCCAATGTAACCAGATTGGAACTCTGAGAAGAGCTGAGTTCCTCTACTGTGTTTTTCATGGTCAACAAATGTGGTTTTGTAGGTCATGAGTCATAGGATAACTCTATTTCCTTCCCAGCTTCCAATGCCTGCCTCCAACCCAGTGTTGGTGATGAACACCTCCATAGGTCATGCAGAATGAGCACCTGTACACCTGCTCCAACTTCAGGTCAAAGGTCAACGTATCCGAACTTTAACCTTCCCTTACTAGGAGGGCATAACAGGAACCTCTTGTGTAACAATTTCTTCTGAAACTGAAACATTCCATCCTGCAGGGATGCTCCTCAAACAGGAAGGTGAACAACTCAAATAGCTCCAGGAAGTCCCTGAAACGAAACAGATTCACTAGGCCCCCAACTTCTACAGTAAGCAATAAAGCTGTTGAAAGTCACTCTGAGATAAGCCCAGCTGCCTGGAAGAAACAGAATCCACCCTAACTGCCTGAAAGAGATTTAGATCAACAGAGTCACTTGGAAAGGACATTCTCCACCTCAGTGAGCTTCACGCAGGAAGTGTGTTCCAGGTTCCCAGCTTTTGAGAGCTGTCACCCATGCTGGGGTGGACTTTGGTGATGCAGCTGTCTGTGAGTCATTTCCGCTCTTGGAAGTGACCCCTCACCCATATTCCTGTAAGTAACCCTAATAAAGCTCATGATCCACTAAGTTGGACTTTAATGATATCTGTACATTGGTCTATTGTGGACTTCCTATCTGGGGTGAGTTGTGTCTCCTTGGGAAAGGTTTTGTCACATGACAGGATCCCATTTCTTGTGCTGTCTCCCTTATCCCTAAGACTAAGCCTTATTAGGATCATATTCCTAGGCACCCCCTGACTTCTCCCCTGTATTGAGCAAAAGAGCCCACGTTAGAGCGCGGGAGCAGCAGCCTCCAGGACAAGCTTAGGTCATGGAGTCCATGCTTGGGATGACCAAGGCCACTGTCACGGAGGCAGTTCAGACCACTTGGTTTTTCTGCTTCTGCTCTCTCTGCCCTGGAGTGCTGCCCCACACGATGCCCTCTACCATGGTATGGCACAGCAGGAAAGCCCATATTAGAGGATGCCCTTGGCACTGGACTTCCAGCCTAAGGGACTGACATTAATTTGTCTTCCAGAAGAGAATTTCCTTGATAAATTCCCTGTTGTGTAGCATCATGCTAGCCTAGTAGAATGTGAACTAAGACATCGGGTATTGCCATTATTGTTACATTGCCCAGCCTCACTGATGACATGATGCTCATGGCCTGGCAACCTGTTCAGCCCATGGGCTGCTGAGCTCATTACACTGTGCTGGGCATTCCCTCCCTGGATCTTGGCTGGCTTCCCCTTCACACTGGCTTCAATGAGAAGAGGGCAAAGGAGAGGGCTAAGGACAAACTCCCTCCTGTCAAAGATTTGAATGTCATATTTTGCTGCTATACCAACATCTATTTATCATAGACAGTCCTCTTTTCTTTCTCATCTGTCTTCATCATCATCACTATTATTATCACCATCATCATCAAAATCGAGACAGGGTCTTGTTATGTAAACCAGGCTGGTCTCAAACTCATCATCCTCCCAACTACTGAATGATGGGATTGGGGATGTTCACCACTACACTCAGCTCACCATTTAATTCTTATTAGTGCTTCTCTACCCAATGATAGCATGAACAGAGAGTGGTTATGTTTCATCATGAGTTGCCCCTACATTTTGTCAAAAGAGCACCCTAGGCACTATATTTTATCCACATGAGCTATGTAGTTTAAGACAAGCTCTTAAAATAATGACAAGTCCCACAGGCATGAATCTAAATGCTGGGGAGAGTGCACTAATGTTTGGGCTTCCAGGTCTTGTGACAGCTCACTCTCCTTTGTCCTTAGAACAGCCCTGAGAGACCATGAAAGAAATTATTGTTATTATCATTATGCTCAATTTATATCTATAAAAAATGGGCCACATGTGGTTTCAAGACTTGCCTAGACCACAGGAAGTACACACATGCAGATCTATGAGTCTAAGTCTGGGCTGTTTCCTGTCTGTTTACCAAGTGCTCAGAACCGTACTGACCCATTTCCTTTTTCTCCATCCAAGGAATCTTTTGCACCAACGGGCCCAATGCCTGCCATGCAGCACATGACTTCAGGACAGTATGTCCATCCAGTTCCCACCGTACCTTGGAGCTGGGCAGCTTTTAAGATACTTTTCCCACAGTTTGTCTTAGGTCACATAATCGGCACAGTGGTGGGGGGTCATGGCTTCACCCACAAGTCTTTCCACCTCTCATCAGGTCCTTCCATCCAGACCGAGGCTCTTACCTCTAAACTCTACTAAATCATGATTCAGTACAAAGTGCCATGAGAAACATGAAAGAAAAACTTGTCAGAGTCAAATGACAGCACCTTCTTCTGCCTGGGATGTGACAGCTTACAAATCACGTTCATATTTGTTTCCTCTCTGAATTGTAAAAAGAAAAAAAAAAGAACATAGGGAAAAGATCCAGGCATTCACATTTTTCTGAGTGCACAGACAATGAACCCAGTGTCTAAGCCAATAGTTACACAGGTTTGTCAGGCTGATGAATGATTTCTCTGGTATTAATAGCATGTGTGCTGGGGGACACGGAGTAAGTTCACCTCTCTTCCTCCATCATCACTGGGCTCGGGGCAATTATTCCTTCACTGGGAGAAAGCAGAACTAGACAGAAAATAGTATTCCTTATGGTGAAATATTTCCAGAAATCCTACATTTCTAGCAGATTCATAATGGTCCTACTGCTCTCTGCAGTGCAGGGTTTCCTACATGCCTTTCCCATGTCTTTCTCTCTCCACAACTCTCCCACATCCCCCGTCATGCTGAGCTATGGAAGAGCTAAGGGAGCACAGTGAGAAAACATCCTTCCTGCCTGAGGGGCCTAAACCAGCCACAGGGATCACAGCCACAGTGTCCAACGCAGCAGAAGAACCAGGTAGAATCTGTAAACCCAGTACTTGGGTGACTGAGGCAGGAGAATAGAAATTTTAAGGCCAGCCTGGGCTACATAAAAATAAAATGCAAAGCACTAGCATTAGAG